TTCCGTATTAATGCGGTAATAATTATGGCAAGATATTGAAGTTAAACTGTGCAATAAGTAAATTGATTGCTAATTTAGGAAAGACAACAAGCGAAAAATTGAATTAATAGGGGAAAAAAAAAAAAAAAAAAAAAAAGCCTTCGAGTCAAGTGTGGTGATGTACTGATGGATAGATAAACATCCTGAGTTCATTTGATGTCCTTTCTTTGCTGGGAATTCAACTTTCTTTATTCTTGTCAAAAACTGGCGAACACTGATTTTATGCTATTTTGATAGAACTATAAAATCGTCTTTATTATGAAGCAAAAACAAACGAATAAACACCTTACACAAAAAGCAACACTGACAAGAACCAGCAAAACAAACATGGCCAAGTTTGACGCAACGATGTAAACGATACTCGTTGATAATTTAACGGTTTTATTTCTTGCAGCTTCCTTCATTCAGAAAACCATTATTAAGATCCTTTATTGTTTTCGGTTCGATTCGGACTGAGACAACGAGGCACGGGCCAAAACAAACTATACACCCTTACCGCTAATAATATTGTTTGCATATATAAACTGTTTTCATGAAAGCTTTAATTTGACTAAGACTTTTGCCCTTTCATGTCAAAGGAGTGAATGTGCATGGGTTTTGTTCAAAGTCAATGGTATTTTTAAAACGTTTAACTTGTTTAAAGCCATTTGTATCGTGAAAACTTTTCGATATCAAAAAAAGAAAGAAAGAAAACCAAAAAATGTATATTCCCTTGTAGTATAACGACTGTGTGGCCGAGATGAAAGTTTATCTAACTTCAATAGAATGTAAGGAACTTAGATTAAAAGTCAGATTTCTAGGAATATCGAATCTGGATGGACGTGATGTTAAACTAGCACTGAATACACAAAAATGAATAATTGATAACCCCTGTTACATTAGGCAGACTTCTAAGAAAAAAAGACATTTTATTCGTGTTTTGGAAGCCTTAATATAATTATTTTTCAAAAATATTTGATAAAACCATAAGCTTTTAAGTTTCTGTTTTTATCTTTCTATGATTAGTCCTGTTTCACACATGGTTTTGACAAGAAAACTTTGGTGCTCTAGAAACTGCTTAACTTGCAAGGTAACAAGTGATTTATTACTTGGCCCTTGAAACGATACTTACCATAATTTATTAGTAGACRACACTAATTACGTTGTTTTCTTTTGTTTTACTTCAACTAGTACTCGTTAATTATTCAACTTTGTTACAAGTTCATTGTCATATCTTCTCACAAATCAACGCAAATGTCAACACAAACTTTTCTTGGAACTAAACCTGGCTTTATATTATTAGATGTTTATCAAAATCAATCAAAAAGGCGCATTTTCTTTGAATTGTCAATACATATTGACTTTATGAGATTTTTCTGGTTTCCAACATAATTTAAAAACAATGTGTTTGAACTAATATTCGTTGATTTGTCTCAGCGTGTCTTTCTGTGACGCTTTTCGTTTAGACGTGACGTTATTTCGCAAGGTTGAAAGGTAACCTTGAGAGCTTGTTAAGGGGGAGTACTTCACTTCCGTACGTTTAAGATCTGTGCAAACGTTTCCAAAATCGAAAGAAAGTTTAACAAAAATCGTCTCTTCTTATGTTGTATTGTAAATCAAGACAATTGGCGCAGTCTCCAAAGTTTTCAAATTTTACTTCAAATTTCTGGCATTAGATGTAGTTAGACCGGCTTTGCCCTCACAGTACAACGTCGTTATAAAGGGTGCTCCCCCCTGATTTCAATATCTATCAATAGAATTAGGGCGTAGCTATCTTGTAGATAAAAGGTCTCGGAATCAAATTCCTGTTCCAGAACGCTTGTCTTAGTTGTGCGGAGCAAAGCATCTTAGAGTTTTTTTCAAAGTGGAATCGCGCGATCCCAAGGTTTTTAGCCTGTTTGCAGGACAAGCTAAGTCATGGAGCTGGTACAGTTTTTCGG